TTTTTTTTCTTTTATAGTTTTCTCCTCATTTTTGTGATGTCAAAAGGGTGAGTAGTGGTAGTGTTTATGTTATTTCATTGTACTTTTTTTACTACTTTTGTTTAGTGTTTGTATCATTGTTTGATTTTAGTAAAATTTGGATTTCTTGATTCACATTATTTTTCCTTCACGTTATGTTTCAATTTAACTGCTTAAATTAATTTTTCTATCAAATATTTGTCATCATAAAAAAAGGGAAGATTGTTACGAGTTTGGATTCTGAGATTATAATTTTGATGATATCAAACATTTCTGACACTTCTATTTTTCTATGATTATCCTGCCTACTAATGTTTCAGGTCCACAAGGTCAATTGCAAATTAAGCCAGCTCAAGATTTGGTATATTAGGACTGAGTCAGACTGTAAGCGTTTGTTAAGTGTTTTTATCTTTTCTTGAGTCAAATATAATAAAGTGTGTCATTATGCTAAAGTAACCTTGCATACACACTCAGGGGGAAAAATTCTGTCTGTTTTTAGAGTTTTGTGTTTTTGATCATATCGTTTGGACCTATCCTAAATCATCATGGATAATTAGTTAAAAATAGAAATCTAATTAGGACATCCTGGTTAAGACATCTTAAATTAAGTAAATCATCCTGGACGATATTATCATTGTCATGAATGATAGACTCAAATCAGAAAGAATCAGCCGCCAACTCTTTTATGCATGTTATTATTTTTAGACATCGTCCTGGACGATGCATTACAATTATGCAAAAACTAGTTGGATGATTAAAGAAAGCAATTAAGATTTGATTGATATTTCATATCGTCCGGGCTGATCGCAAGATTATCCAAGATGATCAGTTAAACAAGCCTTAGTTTCTTCCTAGATGACTAGAACGATGTTCTGGACGATATGTATTGATTTGAACTAATCGTGCATGATGATCAATAAATCAACCTGCACGATAAGTTATTTTTTCATCATCCAACATGTAGTCTGGTTGAACAGAGCGATGGTCTGGATGATCTTTGACATTTTGAACTAATCGTACAGAACAATTCAGAAATCGTCCTATACAATCAGTTATTTTTTCATCGTCTAAACATGTAAAATTTGACCGAATAAAGTGATAATCTGGATGATACTTGACATTTTTGAACTAATTGTACATGATGATGTCCCATCAGCCTGGACAATCAGAATAAACAAATCCTTTAATCGTCCAGCCTCCCCCAGATCGTCATGGTTGATTGAGGTGAATTTGTACTGATCGTACAGGATGATCTGTCGATCGTCCTAGACGATCTTTGTCGATTTGTTGCAATTAAAGGAATTTTTGAAGCCCTTATATATAAGATCTCTTGTTTACTCAAGATGTCATCTTTTGCTGTTGTCCTGACCTAAGAGAGCCAAGATGGAAGGGAGAGCTTGGGAGATAGAGAGAGGATCTTTTGAGGGGGTGTTTGTGAGGGGTTTCACAAAGGTTGCTCCAAGCAAGGATCCGAGTCGTCTTCTCCAGTCGTCGTTCCTGCTTCCTTGGAGGTTCTAGAGAGGTTTACTTCTACGATTAATCGAGGTTCTCTGCCTGCTTCAGGAGGAAGCAAAAGGAGTCGGGTTCTCTACCTACTTCAGGAGGAAGTAAAAGGAGTTGGATTCTCTGCCTCACTGGGGGTTGGTGGAAACGAGTTTTGTACAGGCTTCTCCGTCTTGCTATGGGGGCAAAAAGAGAGGCACTGAGTTTAATGCAATACCCGGAGGAGAGGCTCTAGGGAGTGGACGTAGGTCAAATTGATTGAACCACTATAAAATTTGGTGTGCTCTTTCTTATTGCTTTTTATATTTAATTTCCGCACTTTATTTTTGTGGGTGATTGTTCGTAGTTTTAAATCGTGATTTTTGTTTGAGAATTTTTAAAACACCAATTCACCCCCCCCCCCTCTTGGTTAACTTCAGGCTAGCTCACAAGAGCTTAATTGTGACGCCCTAAGATCTAACTTGAAAAGAATTTCAAGCAATCCATCAATAATTTACCAAAGCTATCTATAACTTCAATCAAATAATCTAGCAAAAATCTATAACATTTAAAACATTAATGTACAAGTCGATTCATATCTCAAAAGATCATATACAATACTCAGGAACTACACTATGAACTGAAATCTATCCTGTCCTGAGTACAAAAGAATCAAAAAAGGACAAAGACCTGGAGATTCTTGATCAACCTCAATCTCCTGCTCCCTTGCCCAGACCTGAAATATTAACAACATATAATGAGCTTCAAAAAGCCCAGCAGGTCACCTAATACCTATAACTGAAATCAAAGCACGGTACTGGAAACAATATGCATGTCAGTCAATCAAATCCATAACAGTTTATTGCACATGATCAATGAATCTATGCAGATACGGAAATCAAATCAGTCGTCAATACAGCGGTAGAAGAATCAATAAACAGTAGAAAATCAGTCGATCTGTCAAATCAATCGTATCAAATCGAATCAATCAAAACAATATTATCTGGTCAATTAAATCGATCGGTATGAAATCATAAAATCAACACAATAAAGCCCAGTCTATACTAGCAATGAATCAAATGCAGCAGTTCAATACAGTGTATCAATGAAGCGAATCAATATCAATAAATCAGTAGTATCCATGTCCGCAACATCAATGAATCAATCACAGTATCCATGTCCATACAGTATCTATAACAGTAGCAATGCACAGTGACAGAATATAAATATCAATGAAATCGTACAATAGTACAATAACAATAAGTCCGTAAATCCGTCAGTAAATCCAAATCAATAAAGCAATAAATCCATCACGAGTCAATGCCATACACATGAATCAATAAAGCAATAAATCCATCACGAGTCAATGCCGTACACATGCATTTCAATACAATAGTCTTACTGAACAAGTACGATCACTAGCTATCAATAATCCATAGTGCTGTTGCAGAAATCTATAGTGCTGTTGTAGATATCCATAGTGTTGATGTAGATATCCATACGTTGGTTCAATAAGAGTCGTCACTCTGTGCTCGTCGGCATAGTAATCTCCTTATGACTCCCAATCGTTATATCAATGATCAATAGTTTAAAGGAAAGCCCGTCGGCCCACCATCATGTACATGTCAAGTCAATCTTCAACCAACGATTCAACCAGGTTCCACTTGTCTTTCAGTATCAATAATCAGATAGTCACATTCGTATGCATATCAATTCAAATCATCAATTTCAGAAAATCGGAAATCGTATGAAAATCCAGCGGCATAACGGCAGTATACAGAATTTACACAAAAATTCACCAAATCAGAATTTCACCAAATTACCACAGAACATTCACAACAACATTATAAGACTTCTATTCTACTGAAGCAACATCAATCAACATCCTGATATTTATCTATTCGATCAAAATCGCACAGAACCCAAAATAACTGGTAGAATCGTTACAGAAAATACTCAAAACGTGTAGAAAAATCATATCAATAACATATCAAAAGTTGTGCGGTGAAAGTTTCGTCAATACAAAATACGGCGCATTTTTCGATAACTAAAACACAAATTTGTGCACAAAACGACCAAAACTCAACATCTTCGAAAACAGAAATAGGATTCAGAGTCCTTACCACGAGATAAACACTTTTCCCAACAGCGGCGTCGGACGAAAAGTGCTCCGCGGCCTCCGGAAACCAGCTTTTCCTTTGCTTTCCTTCTCTTTCTCTCTCCTCAGATATTTTGTTTTATAAAAATGATTTTCTCTCTCCTAAAAAACGAGCTGATTTCCTTATAAAACAAAGCTGATCGGCCCGGCCGATCGCCATATCGTCCAGGACGATGTGAACAAAATTCAATCGTCCAGGACGATATCTCAGGACGATAATTAATTTCTTGGACGATTTGCTCTCTGGCTTGTGCCATGCTCTAATCGTCCCAGGACGATCCAAAATCGGCCTGGACGATCCACTTCAGAAAATCAGCTGTATTCACTGCACTGATCGTCCTGGACGATCTCAATATCGTCCCGGACGATCTTAGGAGGAAAATCAGATCCAGAAAGAAAAAATCAAAGGAACAAGCTCTCACATTAATATCCCTAACTAACTTTTACATCTTTGTGAATTATTTCGACAAATAAGTCGTAAATATTTTAGAAAGTTGAAACGTAGTAACGATATGTAGTTGGATAAACATAAGGAACTGTCTACAAAAAATAAATAAAAAAAATAGTGAATAAGAAATAAAAGCGCAGTGAAAGTATAGTAAAAAAAGTAATTCAAGCACAACAAAAGTTTAGCAAAAATGCAGTGAAATAGTAGAAAATTCGCAATGAAAGAGTAATAGAAAAAACACAGTGAAAGCGTAGTAAAAGTTCAGTGAAAGCACAATGAAATAGTAGAAAATGCGCAACAAAAGTGTAGTGAAAGCGCATCGAAAGCTCTGTAAAAAAACGTAGTAAAAGCATAGTGAAAGCAAAACAAAAGCACAACAAAAACATAGAGAAAGCACAATTACAAATGCACGGCGAAAACACACTTAAAATACAGTGGATATACAAACTGATACCATGAAAGCTATGCAACCTAGTTTAAAACACACTTAAAGTTATGCAACCTAATTTTTTAAAATACAAAAAATATGAATAAGAAGCAAAAACACATCAAAGACGCAACAAGTTCTTGTACCTGTTTACAAATGAGACAAAACTTATGTAACGTCTGGAATGTCGAAGGATTGCAGGAATAGCATCTGGAATACCGAATGAGAGAGTGTGAGCAGTGAAAAATGTCAGGTTGAAAAATAAAATGACATAGTTCTAAGTCTTTTGAACTCCTGCAAATTCAATATTCATCTTTAGATCGGATCGGGTCGGATTGAATGTGCTAACAAAATAGAAATAATAAATAAAATTCAATCGAACATCCACTTATCACCCTCACTTATTAGAATTTAATTGGAGTCCAAACACTCTTACCAAATAATTTCTCCCCAAATATTTTCTCATATGCTGACAGTCGCACGATCTCCGTCGAAGCTATCGCAAAAACAACCGATACCAGACAAAAGCGCCAGGAACTCCAAATCAAATACCTTTCCGTTCAGTCTGTTAAGTTCTACCCGTCCACTCGCCAACTCTATTTCTATCTCCGCGGATCCGCTTCTTCTCCTTCCTATCTCATTCTTTGCGGATAAAGCTGATAATGACTGATGAGTGATTACCTCTAGAAAACTAGGGCTACTCATTTAGTCATTTACCGGGGGCATGGGCAACTGCTGCCGTTCGCCGGCAGCGGCCGCTCGTGAGGATGTTAAGGCTCACTTCCACGACCACAAGGAAGGTGGCGGCGGCGGCGTTGGTGGGAAACACCAGAGCGGAGGCGCAGCCGGTGGAAGGCGGATGACGGTGCTCACCGACGGGAGCTGGGACACTAGATCGGGTGGGATTGAGGAGAAGTATGCGGTCGACCGGGAGCTGGGGCGTGGGGAGTTCGGGGTGACCTATCTCTGCATGGATCGTTACACGCGGGAACTACTTGCCTGTAAGTCTATATCCAAGCGCAAGCTCCGGACTGCCGTCGACGTCGAGGATGTCCGCCGGGAGGTCGAGATTATGCACCACCTGCCCAAGAGCCCCAGTATCGTGAGCCTCAGGGAGGCCTGCGAGGACGATAATGCCGTGCATTTGGTCATGGAACTGTGCGAGGGTGGAGAGCTTTTCGATAGGATCGTGGCCCGCGGGCACTACACGGAGAGGGCAGCTGCGGCGGTCAGCAAGACTATTGTGGAGGTTGTGCAACTCTGCCACCGGCACGGGGTCATCCATCGGGATCTCAAGCCGGAGAATTTCCTCTTTGCGAATAAGAAGGAAAACTCCCCCCTCAAGGCCATAGATTTTGGGTTGTCCATATTTTTCAAGCCCGGTAAGTCTTACTATATTTTGATGGCTGAAATATTTGCAGCTAATGTAAGGTGAATCTTTATTGTTTGCTAGTAAAGGCATTTGCATTTTAATCTTGGAGGTGTGCTGGTTCAATGGAGGGATTATTGCGTGCGGAGTTCAGACACAGAGAAACATTCGATTTTGTGAGTGTGAATAGTAAAAGCGCAACAGTGAACAATAAAAGTGCAACAGTGAACAATAACTGTGCTTTTACTGTTCACAGTCACAAAACTGAACGGTTCTCTTTGTTAGGACTCCGCACGTAATAATCTCTCGATTCCTTGTGCCTTTGTAAGCTTGTGATTCAGCTGCAACTGTATACTCTCACTTCAAGTACATGATTTTAATGCTAAAAATTAGATTTTAAAATAGCACAAATAAACTTTATTGCACTACTTAACTAATATTGGTTCAAGTGAGAAAATACATTATCATGATATTTTAAAGCTACTAAACAATCAAGGTTGGGTTTTTGGAGTGGAATGGGAAGCCTCTCTTTGGGTGTTGAAATATTGGTGGGAGAGTATTGGAGTGGTCGCGGGCCTTCAGAAATTATAAGGATTGGACGTTTTATTGGTTTAGAAAGGAGTTAACAACGCTTATATTCAAATCATTAAAGATATGTATGCAGGAGCTATTACTTGTGTTCAAACACAAGGTGGTTTGACCAAGTATTTCCCTTTTCGGTTGGGTTACATCAGGGATCAACCTTAAGCCCATATCTTTTTGCTTTAGTCATTGATGTTCTCACTAGAAATTTTCAAGAGGATGTACCTTGGTGTATGCTTTTTGCTAATGATATTCTTCTTGTTGATAAGACTAGAGAGGGAGTTGAAGGTATACTTGAATTATCGAGGCCAACCTTAGAGTCTAAAGGTTTTCACTTGAATTGATCTAAAAATGGAATATATGAAGTGTAATTTTAGTAGTAATTGACCTAGTGAGGGGATTGTGACTTTAGGCGATAAAGTCATTAATAAGAGTACACATTTTAGATATCTTGGATCTATTATTCAGAGTGATGGTGAAATAGATGAGGATAATATCAGCAGAATTCAAGTTGGATGGTTGAAGTGGAGGAATGCATCAGGCTTGTTTTTTTTTTTTTTTTTTGAAGAAATGCAAATTTGCATTAAGAGAAAAAAAAAAAGGAACAACCTATTACAAACTAGAGCAAAAAGAAGCTAATGGTTTCTTGATCCAACAGGGAAAGAAACCTTATTGAAAATATATTTGTTAAAACTAAATTTATCATAATTGAAATGAGACCCACTATTTCCCATTTATGCATCAGGCTTGTTGTGTGATAGAAAAGTACCCCTCAAACTTAAGAAAAAATTCTATAAGATGATGGCGAGGCTTGCAATGCTTTATGGTGTTGAATGTTGGCCTTTAAAAGAGAAGCATAATACTAAGGTAAGTGTGACAGAGATGAGGATGCTCAGGTGGATGAGTGGCTTTACCCTTAGGGATAGGATACGAAATGAGCATATACTTGAAAAGGTTGGAGTAGCTCCAGTAGAAGATAAGATCAGAGAGAGTCGCCTTAGATGGTTTGGTCACATAAAACAATAGCCTTTCGATGACCCGGTTAGGAGAGTAGAGTTATTAGATTTGACTTATGTTAAGAAAGTTAGAGGCAAACCTAAAAAGACTTGGTTAGAAAATATTAGGAATGACCTTTCTTTATTAGATTTAAATGAGAATTTGACTTTTAATAGGACACAATGGAGAAAAAGGATTCATGTAGCCAACCCCACGTAGTGGGATAAAGGCTTGATGTTGTTGTTGTTGGACGTTTTATTGGTTGCAGAGAACTACCATGAATGAAGGGTTATTTTTGTGGAGTTTATGGTATGGCAAAGGCTAGGGATTGATATGTAGTGGTCTAGGCTGTGAACGACCATGTGGGTATTAGGGTTTAAGATGTAATGGTGAAGAGGGGAGGCTATGGTTTGGAGATGAGATGGTCTAGGCTTATGGTTTAAGGTCAAAGCCTAGAGCTAGGGTTTTTAGGGTTTAGGAATTGATGTGGAGGCCGAGAGCTTGCAAAGGGATTCTAAGGTTTAGAGAGGTGGAAGAAGTGTAAGAAGATGATAATAATACAAGAAAAAAATTAAATATAGTGTTATACCAAATAAATTACATCATGGGAAGCACCGAACCAACATGAAAATTTGTTCACCACCAAGCGGAGAATTTAAATTGGAATCCAAAACCAAGCTTTTATAAAATTCATTCATCCAGTCTAATATATAAATATATGAACACCCCAAACGATCCTATAAAAATAGGGGTTCATAAAATAAATTCCTAAAAATTAAAAATACAAAATTTAAATTCCAGAGTTGAGGTCAACTTTTGCATGGATTTACATGGAGAAGGTGCTTTAAATTGTGGATGAGGATGGAACCAAGCCTTAGGTTGTCTAATATGCCTTGACTTGTGTAATTTCAACTTGAATTGATCCTAGAAAGTAGATGAGGCTAGCTACTTTGAATTTTGAGTAGGGTTGGCTATATGAAGCTTGGATGAGGAAGGTTAACCAACTTTATCCAAACCATCTTCCAACAAACTTCCAACCACAGTCCAATTAACTTCCAACCATCTTCCAACTAACTTCTAACTACAACAACAACAATTATAGGTATAAAATAAAAAATTAGATCTTGCTAGGTGTTGTTTATTTGATGATGCCCTTGTCATGTGATGGACTTGTCCATCCATTCAAATAAGTGAAATTCAAGTTTCTAATGTATCCATATATACTTATTTCTGTCTTTTGCTTGGACTTATAATCTTGCAGTGCATAAAAAAAATAAAAATAAATAACTTTGTTATGAAACTACAACAACATTCTCTAGGGTACAATTAACTCATTTTAATCCAAAGACCTATTCTATATCGCCCCTCTATCCGATTCTGTCATCTCCAACTTGAAATGGTATTAACGGAAAGCTGAACCATGTTCACTTACTCATAAGCACAGCGTGATCACATTAAATTGTAACATGATATAGCGAAGTAGCATGCAAAAATGTTCTAATAGAATGAAAATTATATTTTACATGATATGGGTAACATGCTATGGCTTTACATAACATTCAACATTGTGAAAATTTTTCTCATTTATGAAATAGAGGAATAGAAAAAACTTTAAATCAAGAAAGCGCCGTAGATATAATCAAACTAAATACTAACTCATTCATGCAATTTAATGCTAATTTATTGGGGTTGTTTAATATGTTTGCCTACAAGAATGCGAAAAGCTTTAATATACAATGCTCTAAAATGGTTGATTTAGGAGATCTACTTTATATAGATTAATATCTTGATGAAATTTTTGTAATTCAGCATCAACTATTGTTGACTTATTTACTGCGATAGGCATCTTCCTGGAGTGCAAAGAGAATTTAGTTTTATTAATTTCTATAATCTTAATATCAAAGCAAACATCAATGCTTATATATTGAGTCTATTTGGGTCAACTGCAATTACTTATAAAATTGTCTATGAAGCATTTGTTGGAAAAGTTGCCATTTGAAATCCAATGTCTTACTTGGGCTTATGTATTAAATTTTTATAGTAATTTTGATGGAGATCTACGAGTTTACATTTGTTGAGAATGCCTAGCAAATAACCGATTTCAGCTGTTAGTCAGGTATAATATGTCAATGTTTTATTTTATAGGTCTTCTTCTAATTTCAATATATTTAAACATGTCTGCGATGATGCTTATAAGAATGGTATGTTTTCTTTTAATTATTTTGATTCCTTGATTTGAGTTGATGTGTTGTTTTGCTTAGGTTGTTGGTTCTATCCTCAGTGCTTGTTTTTTGTATTGATGTGGGCTCCGAAAATTCGGCCCCGGCCTCCCCGCCGCGCACTGATTGATTGTGATTTTATTTGAGTGAGTGAGTTTTAACGAACTAAGTTCCGGGGTAAATTTTGGAAGGCAGATGGGTTTGTAGATAAGACACTACCCAAAGATTTCGCCCTCATTTTGCGAGGACTTTATGATCTGAGTTCTGGTTTCCTATAGGCGCAAGCCCCTATAGTTAATTACCCCTCCCGACCACGAGAGAGAACTTTCGATTAAGGCTAGTCATCAATCAGATTCGTATAGAGATACGTGCATCTGGCATATAGTAGCAGCATGGGTTTCAGATGTTGGAAATTGGATTTGGATTTGGGTATATTTGATATTTAAAATAGGAAATTGCACTATCTTGCATTTAAAGCGGATGGTGGGGGAATGAATGATGGGCCCGATCAAGATCCCATGGTTCCGTCATCCCGGGTCATCGTGGTCCCTGGTCTACTTAGTCAGAGGAGGTAGTCGACCCAACCTGACAGAGGATCCTTGTCG